TTTGTCGCTGCTTAACAGAACGGAATGGGTCAGGCATTTGAATTTGGTTTAGAGAGAAGATGGGCAGCAGCCCATTCATTTGCCTCTGCAGCACTTAGTGGAATTTAGTTCAGCAGGAAAAGCAATCACTTTTGCAAATATTCATTACGCCATTGAGACAATATTGATAATGTTGGTGATTATAAAAGCAATGATGATGTGAATGATGTGTATGTGAACTACACATCATGTGTAAGCCGTTGGCTATGATGAGATCCATGTAAACAAGTTCCCAATTCCAGATAAAAACGTGTAGCTATGGGCAGAATTAAAATCGATTGGGTATATTTACTGACAATTAAAAATTGTAAAATAGTTTTAAATCGGTATATTAGTTTAGAATATATACTAAGCAAAATTTTGGTATCAATTATGAAGTAGGTAGGAGTAGATGTAAGCGGATACCTATTATTATTATAATTTTTATTTATTATTGATTCAAAGAGATTCGAATTTCATTTAAAATCTAAATTGATAATAACATATTTGTTGTTTGTCAGATTGGCAAAAAAATGTGGTACATATTATTAACATTGGCACTCATATAAATTCTTCTATAATTAATCTTCTGTAACTTATAGCGCTTCTCACAAATATGTACAGATTATTTGATTTGCTACCATTTAACAAGACTTTAACTTTAACTTGTGTAACAGAAACAATATTCAATAGAAACATATTATTAACTCCCTTTGCTTTCGTTCAAAAGTTGTAAATTTTTTAAAATTTTTAAAATACATCAGTGGTAGATCAAGGAAGGTGGAAGCATGCCATTGTCAGTAGATGTTTTCTCTTTACATATGAATTTTTAAATTTTTGTGTTTACTTTGAAATGGACTGTGTATAATAACATAGCTTGCTTACCACTTTAAAATATTAACTGATTAATTTTGTGATATTTAACAAACTAAAAATCGTATAGGCATGTATTTATTTTCCTTATCTGCTCACAGCAAGAAAGTATTCAGCTTCAACGCCCTAAGCAAATAGGTTTCCAAAAACCGCTTAAATAAAATTACGATAACCAGGAACGAAGCCAAGAGGCAGATAAAAATAATAAAACTTATAAAAAACAGAATTGTATTCAAAAAATTATTTACAAAGTAACAATGCGCTAAAATGCTAACAACAAACTTAATTATGTCTGCCTTTACATATGAACTACACAAATAAACCCACACCAGAAAAGGATAACAAAGGAGTACTACAGAGTCCCTCGGAGTACTACGGGGAGACAAACAAACATTAAAAAAAGTTCAAAAACATGCCACAACCATTTTGGGAAAAAGAAAAAGGATAAGGGGACGGAAATATGTAAACTACGCTGAAGCGGAATGTTCACACACAAAATGGAAGATATTTCGGGCATTCATTGTTGGCATAATCAACATCAACAAGGCTATCAACAACCGCCAAGGAACATCATTGCATGGGAATTTGAACATTAACAGCAACACGTGCTTTACGCCACGTTTGATACTCGGCAAGGCTCGATGCTGCTGCTGGAGATGAAAAGGCTGAAGTTGCACACCCCAATAACTCAACCAACCAAGAAACATGCTCTCAAAGCGGTGCCGTGTAGCAGGAAACACATCAAGCGAGTTGATGGGAATCATAGCGAGTGTCAGCACGCAAGCTTGCCTGCTTCTGTTGCAAACTGAAAAGTGAGTTAAAGTGTTGAGGTTCGCTGTGAGGACTCTTGGTCATAGTCAAGCAAAAATCATCCAAAAAGAAGCAATCATGAACATATAAAATAACAAAAAAATACAAAAATAAACAGTAGCGGCGCTGCTACTCTTACTCGTATTTTGGGAAGAAGCAGCAGCTTCACGCTTGAAATACTCACAGATGATTTTAGACGCACGGCAAGGATAACAGAAATTCATCATGTTGGGAAAATCTGCAACAGTTGTAATATTTGCGGAAAAATTTAGTAAAAGCAAGGCGAAGGAGTAATTGTGTCTTTGATAAGCTTCTCAAATGCACAAAAATGATGAATTAGTGAGGTCCGTTTGCAAGACAGCTGGAATGGATGATGAAGAAAATGGAACGTGAGATTTTAAACATATTTTTAATAGTAGCCAATTTAAGAGTCATGTGTTGTCTTTGGAAGTTGAAATAATTTCTTTTATTGATATGAGATATATTTTATTTGCAACTGCAAAAAGATTAATTCAAAATTTGATAATAAACTTTGAATAAAAAACAATTTACAATAAAATTTACAATAAATTTACAATAAAACAAACAAAATACCATGAACACAGGAGATATGTGAAAAATGCCAAAGATTTACTTTCAAATCAAAGAGGATACGACTAAATAAGTTTAAACTAAACTACAGTCGGTCAAAACTACATTCACCGAAAATACTAGGAGTGCTGAGAATGCTGTTTAATTGAACCTTTAACAATCTGAAACCTGCACGCTCTGATAACGTAAAAAGACCTTGCTGGTTCAAGAACCCTAGGTAATTTATAGACGGTTTGCGGTCTGAGCATAAATGGATACAGATTAGTAATCGTTGAGGGAATTTTTTGTAAAACTCTTTTTTAGAAACACTTTTGTTCGAGCATCAAAGCTTTGGTTCCATACGTGAGTACTGATAAGAGAAAAGTGTTGTACTATAGTACTTTGAAAGTTATGATAAGCAGTTTTATTTAAAGTGGTTCGTGGATTTCTTCATCCACGTTATTATCAACTACTGATATTCACCCAAGGTATTTGAAGGATAACAATTTTCTACTACTGACCGATGCCAACATAAAGTACATGTCTATCGTTTATAAAAGAGCTGATCTATTCATTGCCTTTTAGATACCAGGGTGTGAATTGTCATAATATCCTGGACTTAATGATTGAAGAATGACTGGTATTCTACACAGTTTAGTTGTGAAGAATTTTAAAAATATTCCACATTTGCTTTAAATATATTTCATTAATTTCAGAAATTCATAAATTCCTTTAAAAACCCCGTTTCTCCGAACCCCATTCCCCAAATTTCTTATTCGCATTTGCGGCCATATTAATGCGTGCCTTGTCGCAGTATCTCATTTAATTTTATTTATGTTTTATTTATTTTATTTTTAATACATTTCGAGCTTTGTATTTTGCATTGAGGTGTGTGCGATTATTTATGTTCTCACTGTTCAAATCACACCTGTTTGCTTCTCATAATGGACTCCTAAACTAATGCGATATAATCCACTTCGTACGTATGAAATACAAGTGTTCACCTAAAAAATCTTGCGCCGATTGACGAGTAAAGCAGAATATTACGAGGCATCTGAAGTGTCGAGTAATTTATATTTTATTTTCTGTTCTTTATTTATTCTATGTTTCTTTCATTTATCTTGTTTTATGACAATACAACAACAATACAATCCGCTTGAATTATAAATACAATTAATTTTCATTAGATTTTGTTAAGACAATTGGCAACTAACAAAACCACAATCATGCTAAATCCATTTTATTTGTTACTTGATGATTCAAGATGATTGATAAAGAAGTTTTGTTTAATTATTTATTTTTTATTAATTAAATACAGAGACATTAGGGACAGACTAATGCAAGACATTCAAAATATCTTCCATCAGTTATTCAGATGGAGTTATTTCTTGTATACAACAGCTGTTGTAGATAAGGAGGATCAACAGTATATATCTGCATCTCATTTGGTCTCGTTTAAATAAGAAAAAATCTACACCGTGAGATTACTGAAGGGTTACATTTAATAAGTTAACATATATTGAAATGCAATGAAACTAAATAACATTTGATGTCTATAAAGAGATATTAAATATATATTTTTTATTTTCAAATCTTCATTGTGTCCAGCCAATATTTGCAAAAAGGAAGAATGATGTCCGATTATATTTCGAAAAGAAGAACAAGATTTTTTTATTTAATTTGATCAGTTCACTTGTTAAATACTTCTTTTTCTTTTAATATATATAAGGATTTTATTAAATTATAGGTGAAAACTTTCTCCCCAAGCTGCACTCCTACACTGGCTATGTCACTCTATTTCTACAATTATAGACCTCTAAAGAATCCAAATCAATACTGATAAGTGTTGACATTTTATTTTTAAAATTGATATCAATTGGAGTTATTTAGATTGTAATAAAATTCCAATTATTAAAAAAACTTCTACACCAACACTAATCAGTATTAATTGTTTTAGAATTAATAAATATGAAGATGCGAACATAGTATATCTAAAAATAATCCAAGCCTAAGTCATAGATTATATCAAGCATAACTGTAGTTTGTTGTGCTGACTGTGTCATGCTAAGTTTTAAAATGAAGACATTGTTAACAACTAAGAAATTTATTTTTTTAATAAATTTTTCAAAAAAATAATATCAAATAAGACTGAAAATCGTCTACAAAGATACCAGAACTATTATCCTTCCCAAAGATCGACGTTGGCGATATATTAGAAATCATGCAAAATATTCTGCAGAAAAATAGATTCGCTCCTTACAGTCAAAAACATTTTATTGCTAGCACCTCAAAGATATTAATAGTTTACAAAGCACTTTTATTTCATACATTTATTCAATCCAGGAAAAACCATTTAAAAAGTACCTCAGTTTAAAGATTTTTTTTTGGGAATATGGAATATTTTCATAAAAAACTATGAATTTTGTGAACAAAAAAACACTTTTTGAAAAAGAATTTGGTACTGCATATCTAATAGGAACTATTATAAGACACTCCTTTTTAAGATACGATGTTTTTATAACAAAAATTTTCTTTCTGGTATAATTTAATTGGACACTCTGTACCTCGATTAATATTAATAATGAACCTCTCTTCAATTTCAAAATTTAATTAATTTGTCTTCTATTCTTTTTTTCATTTTATAATGAAAAATAAATAAGGTCTTGAAATTAATCAATTTTATAAATAAACCACAAATTTCTTAATAATTATATCAATTAAATATTTACATTTATTACGTCGACTTGAATTTGTAGATGCTGTTGCCTCATATGTGTCCTTTTCTGTAATTTCCTCCTTTATAATAGTTTTGCCGTCCAGTGCCATCTGCAAGAAAAGGAAACAGTAACGTTAGATAAACAACTACAGATATCTGATTATATTATGTATGTCTTTATTATATATTCTAATATTTATATAACTATTAGAACTAATAATATGAGGATCCCATCCCGTTGAATCATGTTTCTTACACTTTATTTAAAAATTAATATCTTGACTATATATAAAGATAATACTCAATGGAAAAATAAGAAGAAAGTTAAGACGTTTGATCACACTTTTTTAATGAAATATAGAACTCAGTATGAATTATACACGGATATTATATTATATACAATATTACTCTCTATATATGTGTGTTGTATTGTATGATTCGAACCGTGATAATATTAGTGTTGATGAGATAAGAATAATATTAAGATGAGATGAGAGACAATAATATTACATATCCCATATATTTATTAGATTTACTTTTGTGTTTTTTTAAAAAAATAGTTTCTTTACTAACGACAGACTATTAAAAATAAAGTACGTAAGCGATATTCCGTATACGGATATGTAACTGTTTTATTGTAAAACAGAAGTTCATTTAAAATGTACTGAAGGGAATGTCCTTAAATGTGTGTTTCCTAATATAATTTATTCATATAGCACAGCTAATATGTGCACCGTAAATTGTAAAAGCAGTTCGGGTAAAACGCAGGAATGCAGGAAAAGTGATACCCAAAGAGTTAGAACTCTTTCGCTGCCAACTTTATAGTTCCCACAATTTACTTTATCTCTGATTAACATCGAATTTAGTCTGTAATTTTAGTTTTTGGAACAAGTTTATTGTTTGGTGCTATGTTACAATGTTGTTTTCTTCGTTATATTTATTTTTTATCAATTAAAGTTAAATGGAAATCGCGCAAACAAGTGATAAAATTCTCACATTAAGAAATTGGGTATTTCAGATTAAATCGATGTCTGACATGCAAATTAAGTGCTGTACGGAAGCATTCGAACGAGGTGAAACTATTCGCGTTAAAAAATTCATTTAAACAAATACGAAAAACAGCAAAACATATTTTTATATTGTTCTGAAAAGTTTTAATACTCGAACTCGCATATTTTAAAAAGCTTCCATCACCACTGAAAATAAAAATAAAAATTCATAGAAATTATTTTAAACATATCAATTTGGTGTGTAACACAAGCCACGTGTAAAGACTCACTCACGTTGAAATGCTCGCCTGCAGAGCCAATGGAACAGTAGCAGATTGGCTAAAAGGCAAACTGATTGCATCGAGAGCAGCTGCCAATTTTGCCAGCTGCTACCAATGCTTCTGCTGCTGCTGCCACTGCTGTTGTTGCCGTTATTGTTCCTGTTGATGACTGATTGCAATTTACAACATAAATTTTGCTGCCAATGAAATCAGTGCTCAATCAAAAAATGGCCAACAAGCCATAGATGGAAAAATTTTTGGTATTACCAACAACAACAGCAACAAGAACAATCAGCAGCAACAGCAGTGGCAGAAGTACTATTAGCAACAGCTGCCATGACTAAATAACCTGCAAAGAGGTATTACGGAAAAGCAGGGAAAACATTTCCGTTGCAAGATATTTCCATTTTCCTGTTTGGACTGTAACACCTGCAAACATAAATTGCTTTGAAATTACTTTTGCAGGTGAAACCTAAAAGTAGAAGAAGAAGACGTCGTAGAGAATAGAGGCTTTTTTAATGGTATACAAATTTAGCCTGTCATGTCGAAATAGTTTAACACTCTACAGTTTCTGTATTTTAAAGAGAAGTTGTTAGTAACGATGTTAGTGCTTCAATATTACTAAAGTAATATTTGAATTCAAAATCATTTGAAAATATCCATGTGGTCCTATTGAAAAGAACAGGAACAATTGCTTTAAATTAGACTATTCCGTTAGGCACTATTTTCCAGAAAGATATATGAATATTATATGATAAAGTTAAGTTTGAGTGGCAGTCTTCTGCATCAAAGCACAAGTAATGACTTGTTCTAATACCACGGATGATACACCATACTTACGCCAGACATTTATCGAACTGTGTTTTTTGTAAACAATAAAAAGTTAATTTTGCATTTAATTGTGTTTGTATAATAAAATGTTTGCTGCGAGATCCATAAGATAGTGGCAAAAAGGCTTATGTGTCCAGGTTTCAGTTTATAAGTTTTATAAACAAATCAAAAAAGGCTAAGTGAGCGTTAAAAAGAAAAAACGCCCTGGATGACTATTGGTATCAGCTGATGAACAAGAAGCCAAGGAAGACAAAGATTTGGTGCTCAAATATTTTCGATTGACAATCAAAGATCTCGCTGATAATGTTAATATATCATTTAGATTTGTACTGATCATAGTAACTATTTTATTTATGACTGAACTGAAAAATTTCGAGTTTGTGTAATTTCAAAAGAAAAGTACCTGTATTTGGAATAATCCAAATGTAGTTCTGTCATGTTTCATAGTAAATAAATAAATAAATTAAAGACGGTGTAGTTCTTCCTAAAGATTTAAGTTGCCTTACAAAATCATTTTTTATTGACTACTAGATCACCTAACAAGTTTTTTTTAACGGCTTTAACTATACCTTTAAAATGATTCTTTTTATTTTGCTTTTTATATTAAGATATCATCGCCATTTATATATTCCATATATTCCATATATATTCCATATATATTCCATATATATTCCATATATTCCAACCTCTGTATACATACATATAAACGGACGGTAAAATGATCTTATATTAAAATTTCTTGATATGACCGAAATTTTAAATTTTGCAGAGTTCTCCACTAGAAATCTCCATTAGACACAGTTAGAAACCTTCTGAACAGCCAATCTCATCTATCTTATCACGTACCTATCATGGAATACGAGTTTATAACAAAGTCATGCTCTCCATTAGAATAAGCCTTCTTCAGCGCGTATATAAGGACGAAGTGACCGACAGCGAATGTAGTACTCGATTTACCCACGGAAGTAAGCTTTTTCATTCACCTGCACTGGCAAGGTTCTTTCGTAAAAGAAGCCCCGAAGTATAAACAAAACGTAGTAGTAGAAGCAGCACACATGGCGCTTCGAGCTAAGGTGAGTTGAGTGGATATCATCGGTTCGATTATCAAAATCGTTTAGAGCAGAAAGGCGCACATATGCTGCGGTTTCTCAATCGACGCTTTCGCGTCACCCCCGCACACGCACACACTCAAGCGCAACGTGTGCGTAAATTTTCCGCGTCTGCTGTTGTCGGCATGAATGAATTTCTTGCAAGAAATGACGTGGGTTGGTGACCGGCATTTTAAGTTCCGTGCTGTTTAACAGGATTGCAGCTGTTTAACGTCAGCGCGAACCGAGGAGCACGAAAATTTTGTTTAGAAACAAATTTCGTCGCTTCAACATTTTCGAATTTTTAACAACAGTTCTAACCGTTTTGTGTTGTTCCTTGTGGCTGATGTTGTTGCTGCTGTTGTTGTTGCTGCAGTATCTGTTGTTGTTGTTATTTCTTAATATTAAACAGCGCCTTCGTCTTTCAAAAAATGATGAGCGATTTTTCGCTGGAAGTTCATGAAAATATTTTCTATTTCCCGCCTTAGTTTAAAGTATTTTTTAAAGCGTTCGAAATTCTTTCAACGTTAATTCACTTTGCAGTACATTTTCCTAAAAAGTGTTGTCTGATGTTAAGCAGAAATCTTATGGCTAAAAAGAATCTTAATTAAGAGTAAATATTTTCAAAATAAACGAAAAAACAGAGGAGGTGTTCTTATACGCAACTAGATAGAATAGATGTGAGCCAACATAAGGTGTGATTTTTGAAGATGAAGCAGAAGAAGAAGATTTCATAACAATTTAAAACAACATAAAATTATTTGATAGATTTGTTAATATTAAAAACGCCATTGATCTATAATTTATGCACTTTTTCCCACTTCTCTTGCAGAGCTGCTGACATACAAAAGCAGCAATCTGTAAACAAATAAGACTACTAAGAATGCTAAAAGTTTTTTATTTAAATAGATGAATATATTGTATATGAATAAAAATTATGTGGAATTTAAATAGCTTTAAGGTATTTCACTTCATCACAAATAAAAAACTCCCAGAAACGAGATTTTTGATGAACTAAAAAGAACCCACTTTGACTTATTTTAAGATCGTAACATAATGAGATGTGCTAAGTTGTCATAAGGCTTTGCACTAAAAGTTTTTTTTAATTATATTATCGAAAATACTAAAAAATCTATCTTAAGTACAATTTTTTACCTTGGTTTTAGCAAATGAGTTTGGAACTACCAAACACATAGACAATACAAACAACTTAAATCAAATGAAGAGTTAATACACTTTAACTTGTGCCGTTTAAAGAGCCTTTAGACTTTAAGGACTACTAAGACTACTTACAGAAACAGTGGAAGTTTCGACAAACTATATCGCTAAAACTATAATGCAGAGTTTTATTTTGCGAACGATTTAAACTAACAATATTTTTCTGATTTAAATATGACATGACCGGTATGACATGGCCCAACAATAATAACTTAAGAACAAAGTAAATGTCGGATCTTAAATGCTTCACGCTCTCTACTACTCCACAGCTGTGTGAGTATGTAGTACTCGCCTATATTATATTACAGCGATTAAAGTTACCAAAATAACTACTTAATAAGAAACTATTTTGAATAAAATAAATCAGTGTTGATGGAAAAACTTATGTTGTTCCTACTTAGATTTTTTCCTCAAAACTCTCAAACAACCAAAACATGCTGTGTGTGTGTCCACAGGAGAACTTACCATAAACTCATTATAAGATGTATAGCAAAAACGGTGCGATCTGCTGGATATGCAGTAAATTTATGAAAAAATATATTTGCTACGGAAAATGAAGAAAAAACTCCATAATGAAAGACAAACAACTTGTGCCAACAAGTGTTGTCAAGCAACAGCAACAGAAGCTGCAGAAACAGCAGCGGTAGTGTGGCAATGTGGCAGCACTGGCAGCATCATTTTTTCTTGAAACACTTTTCAGAAC